TGTTGTAATTATGCTAAGCTGAAAAGGCATAAGTGGTTACTTGCACCCATCTTACCTAGTATTGAGTATTTTTACGAACATTTTTTTTACTAAGACGAAAAGGAAAAAGGTTAATAATTTGATAATTGAGCATAAATAATTAAATATTTTATTTTTACATATAATGTAAACCTATTATATTGCGTTTGCAGCAAGTGTCTTTGTCTTTTCGATTGGCGACAGCAGACATTTTTCTTTTTTTTTTCTTTGAACATTATTTTCTCGGATTTGACTTTTTGTCACAAGCGCCCTTTTAACTAAGAGCGGCAGAACTGAGATTCCATTCATAATTTTAATTACAAAACGTAATCTGAGATCACTTCTTCTTTATTATTTTGTCATGCATGACTCATGAATAAGATTCTTGTTAACCATAATATCACAGTATAATTGGTTAATCTGTGATAATATTTTGTATATTGGCTCCCCGGCTGTATAAGTGGTAAGGAATCGGTTAAATATTTTTTCTAAAACGTATTAGATACATCGTTAACGACTCGTCGACGACGTTAAAAACATAATATAAATTTTTCTTATTGAGTATTATAATGTCAATATAATACTAATTGTAACCGCAGCACTGTAATGAATTAATGATAAAGTGACCTTCGAGTGGGCGCCGGCGGCACAGCGACACGCGCACACGATGACACGGACGGGCCGCCCGGCGCCGGCTACACGCTGCGTCGTCGGTCTGCACTTGGCGTCAGACAAAGAACAATTGCCGACTCATTGAAAATGCGTATATACTTAAATTGTATATAATTATTATTCAATAGTATATTATTATTATTACAAAGCTACAAGTTCTTACTTACTGATAGAAATAGAACGCATACTTCCCGATATGGTGGAAAAAAATATATTTATACCGTTGTACGCGGATAGGCTCCAAAGCAAAGAATCAAATATGAGAGGTCCTGAATATGGAAAATATGAAAGAGTGATCAAAGGCCTGCAAAAACTATAATATACGGAGTGAATATTTGGGCATTTTTATGAAGTACACCCTAGTCAATTTCCGCGGGGAGTAAAAAACGTTCGAAATTCAAATACACAACATGGCCGCCATACAAATTTCAAAACCTCCTATCACGGAAACTATTAGAGAAAGGCAGGAGGTGCTCGAAGGAATGTCATAGAGGGTAACACTGGTCAACTGCCTGGGTTAAAAAAAATTCAAGATGGCGATTTCAAAATGGCGGCCGAAAAAAACTTGCTTCAATCCGGCTGAAAATTAGCATGCGAGGGTTTTTAGGAGTCCTTAATCATAATTTGGGGTCAAAACTTTATTTTCGACATTTTTTTATATGGCTGCCATACAAGTGTTTTAGTTTTTGTTGTAGTTTTCGTTAAAAATAGCTGCCTAAAGAGATTTGCTCTGATTCGACTGAAAATTGCCATGTGAAGGCCACTAGCAATGCCGGATAATAATTTGTGCTCAAAATTTGTTTTTAGCTATTTTCAAATATGGCCGTCATAGAAGCGTTCGTTGGCGGCAGAAAAAAAATTGCTCAGATCCCTTTGAAAATTGGCATATGGGGCTCTAGGAGTGCTTGATAATAATTTGTGATCAAAATTGGATGCTCGTAAATTAATATTATCAACCATGACTAAACGACTCACATGTAACATAAAAATACAGTACATTCAGAATTTCCTGTAACAATAACAGTGATTGCCAAGCGTTCCACGAGAATGACGATGTGGTTAAATGTTTACATAAATCTGACCGCACATAGTACTCTCGACTCGATGACAATTATGTCAGGTTTTAAGTTACCAGTTTCTCATTTGTGGAATGTAATTCAATCTTGCTACGTATACGCTTTGCAGATTTCTTCACTAGCAACTATTCCGACTTAGTTAAAATGTTTGTATGTTATATTTACAGGTCAGGTATTGGTCAACATAGTAACAGGTTTTACTTAATAACATCGTCGAAGACTTATAGGTGTTTATGTGCAAGAATAAAATCATATAACAAATAACAAATGAGTCGATAATCTATCAACACAATTACCCAGCAGTAATGAAAATGCCTAAAAACGCACATGAGGTAGTGGGTGAATGTGTGTTAGAATACGTTAATCTCTAGGGACTTCTAATTACATCTTATCCATTTGTTAAATGCATTGACTTACGTTAAATGCCTAATTATGTGCTTACGTGGTAGGTATTAGCAGAATTGAGGTCAAAGATTTTATGTGTCGACCATTCGACGGAACTGCTGACAAACGAATGGCGGTTATCTATCAATGCGGAGGTTATCAATTGATTTATACGTAATTGCTTTCTAGAAGGAGTATTGCAAAGTAAAAAGTGCAATAGTACCGTGAATACATACTAAAAAATTCACCAGATTCCAACGGCCACCGCCTTTCTGCTGTCGTAATTCTGACTTCCGTGGTTCTGCTTTTACAGTTCAAATTGTCGTATTGTGCATTTCCTTTTATAAGCTGTTATAAACTTTTGTGTATAGTAAATCAAATAGGTACCTAAATTTGAATCTATAAACTATGACAATTGATCATTTTATTGTCATTTAACTCTACAATAGAACGATAATAAAAACTAAACAAGCATCGGTTTATTCCATGGCAACAACGATTGCTCCAAAAAGATAGCTTTATTAACAAAAGTATTTTAGAATGGATTAAAGCAATTTTACCAATGACTGAATAACTTTTTAGTGTTTCTTTTAATGTTTTCATTATGAATTCTGCCGCTATTTGAAATACTGTAATAATAGAATGATTTTATTAGATTGAGCCCTTCATTAAGTTTATTTATATTGTCCATTGCTTACACGATTTATTAAAATTGCATAGGGCATAATTTATAGGCTGCTTCTCTACATTGACAAAATTATATTCTTTAATTTGCATTTAATATGCATGCTTGCAAGTTAGTAATTTTAAGTAGAGTAAACCACATTGATTTGCATATATTAAAAAATGTGCATGTTTTGAATAATTTAGTTAAGAGGATGTGGTTTCTCTTTGTTCATATCATAACAATAAACTATCTTAATAACGGAGTAAGTAAGTGTTCAGTGATTTTGGATATCTCCAGATTCGTGGTGGTAACGCTGACGGCGTAACATTTATTTGGTTTGTCTATAAATAACTCTTTCTGTTCACTGTTACATATGGCGACATAGAACGAAATGTGATGTATAGGGCGCGTGTTGCGAATGAAGCTTCATTCTTGATAAGTTAAGATAACTTCGTTATTATGCGATTTCATTTATATCTGGAACCAATCTGGGGTCTACTCTCGATCTCCGTCCGAAAAGACAAGCTTTTAATTTTGTCGAATATTACTTATTTGACAGTAATTGTTTCGGACGGATGTCGGACGGAGACCGAGAGTAGACCCCCAGATTAGTTCCAGATATAAATGAAATCGCATAATAACGAAGTTGAAGTTTTTTACTCTTGTTATTTATGTCTGTCTGTAGCAGCTGTAGTGCCACTCAGAGCTTTCAATCACAAAGACCTGAAGGGTACCGCCACTGCGCCTGTCACCCTGAGATAACGTTGGATAAATATCCGAAATTTTCAATTATGTAGTAGAAATTATTCTGTAAAATTGATTTGTTAATATTAAATTTTTATGAAGACTGATAATTATGTTCTAAGTTTAATATATATGAATATTTTAATTGTTTATTTAGCACCCATTATAAAATTCTATTGTACCTATAAACATCAATAAATGAAATTTTCTAAACCATGCTTGACTTATTTCCACAAATTCTCAGAATTCAGTATCTTCAACTTTTGACTGGTGTCTCTGTCAAATATGGAAAAACATAATATAAAAACACTCAGATTTTCTTTTTTTCCAAAATGGACGTTTTTCCTTGACTCATAACTACCCTGAGACATAAGTTGACAAGAGCCATGTGCCTGTAACCTCACCTTAAGTTAAACATTAACGTTTAAAAAAGTTTAAGTATACTGAGGATGAAATATAAATGGATGGATGAGTGTAATGAATATGAACGAAATGATAAGAAAATAAATGTATATACATGTATGTATAAATGTATGTATATACATATGTGAGGAAGCTCAAAAGGTAAATTTGCGATTTACCATTAATGGCTTTAGTCTAGCTAAAAACAAAATTTGTTTATGAGCATGTACCATAATTTGTGTCTCAGGGGTTTCTAGTACAATATACAGTAACAATTAATGGGACAAAGGAGGAATATTTACCAAAATTCAGTCTTTTATTACAATTTAGTTCTAATTGCAACTCAATGTTTGAACTATTTATGATTTGAAATTCGTATTACATCATTCAAGTTCATTTGCCTATGCTATATAAACTAGCTCCACCATATTTTTTCACTATATATTCTCAAATTTCATTCTGAATTGTACTGTTATTCTTTCTTTTTTCTTTGTAGATACAAAAACTAAAAGAAACTTTTACAAATACACCAAACTTAATAGTAATATAGATAAAGATTATGACTACCAATCAAATTTTTGTTAATCAGAACACAATGCAAACCAAGCACAACAAGATATCCCCAGTCGCCCCCAATTCTAATCATTGTTATTACTAAATATAGCACATGTGGTGCTCTGCCTACACTATCAATCAATAAGCTTGATAATGGAATTAAATGTTTTCATTCTTTGTTTTTGGTACACACAAATTAATCAAAAATTCTAGATCAAATTGTTGGTGCTTTACTCAATTTCAATTAATTAATATTAAAAAATGACATTTTAAATCTGTAAGTAAATAGTCACAAAAATAACAATTATTATACATTTACACATATACAATTTACTCAACGGTTAATGGCTATGTGTTACATGTTTAATTATTAGTACTGTTTGTGTAAGTAATAAATAAATTTATAAAAAAGTAATAATAAAAATTCAAATAAATATTTTTAGGAATTTTGTAAAAACAAACTTATTAAACATTTTACTTACAAGCTTTAACTGTTGCTCCGTCAACATTTTGAGATTCCAGGCGTTTCAAGAGTACAAGATATATGACGCTGTAAGAGTTGATAATGCCAAATATGAGCCCGTTTGTACAGAAAGAGGCAATAACCACTATGTACGCGCGGAGGCCACCATCTGGAGGACCACCTGATTCCTGCCATACACTGGCTTTCCGCCCATTGGCTTCTTGCCTTTGTTTCGGCCGCAGCAGATCCGTACTTTCTTTACGATCCACATCCATCTTTTTTATTAAAATCAGTGTAACTATAACGGGCTAAAAGCACATGGTGTCTTTCGTACAAAAATAATATCTAAGTACATATTTTCAAAGGAATGTTAAATTTATATTTGTTTAGTGCTACGCATGTCAGCAGTGACTTACGATTATGTTTCGTAAAATAAATTTCAGAGTACTCCAGAATAATTAACTTCGTACTTCGTACACGTCTCACATTACCGTAGTTACTTCTCTAACTGTCAGATGGCATGGTATCAGAACCAGCTGATGTAATAAGAATGAAAAATCGAGTGAACGAACGAAGAGCGAATGACTTTACTTTTGAAATAGGTGTACGACCCGCAGAAAATATTTTTGTAAACAATTTTTAAACTCGTTTATTTTAAACTTTTTTGAGAAAGGTATTAACCCTTAAATGCATTGGGTATTAAATTTGATACCAGTTACTCAGGACCGGGTATTAATATTTATTTTTACACACTAGGCTACATGGATTGACTATCTTTACCTACTTCTACTCAACAACCAGTGAAAAAACGAAGTTTCACCTGTCAAAATATATATATTTTTTTGCCTTTCCGATTTTTGGAGCGCACTTCATAAGTTGTGATTTCACAGAAAAGAAATCGTGTATCGATATCTTTTATACCACTCGAATTTTTTTTAAACTAAAATATGTTACCGATGGGTAAATACCTTATATTTACTGTTGTGTATTTGTTTGGGTCTTGGTTTTGTTCTACTCTGAGGAGAAAGTACATTTTTGTTGGTATCAATTTTGATACTTCATGAATTAAGCTCTAATTGAAAACCTTTTATCAAGCATCATTGACTTACAAATAAATGGACGACGGGTCTAATAGAAAAACCACGAAAAAAATGTCCCAAGTCAACCTATTCGAAATTTAAATTGTAATGTCATCGCAGTATCGCGCTGTCAGTCACAAAGTACTTTGTATACTGTCAGTCGAACAAATGAAGACTAAAGCGGAGTTTGGCGCTCTGTATACGATTTTAGCGCCTTACAAGTGCGAACACTTTTTAGCGCGGACCCGACGTCCATATAATTGTAAGTCAATGTCAAGCATGCATATTTATTTCGGTTCTTTTACTTTTTCTCTGTTTCTATTTTACCGTAATACATTTTGTGCTTGTTTTACTGCATGTAAGGATGATTTAGGTTTTTACTTTACAGATTTCAATAAAAAATCAGACCAGATGAAATCGAACAACTATTGAGTCAGTTGGGAAGCGGAGAAATCTCTGCCAATGGAGGAAGTGAAGATGAACACGAAACTACTATTACGTAAATCGAGGGCAGATTCAGCAGGACCTACTCAAATATGAGGACTTAGCTGCAGATACTGGGAATGAGGAGGATACAGACTCACCGTTGGTAAACGACTGTGATGACGAGACCACCAGAAATACTAACCAGCCTGTTCCATTGGTAAATTATAGCAGAACTCTATAACCCACCAATGGGACAGAATATGTGTAAAGTCACGTAAGTGGACGACTAAGATGTTTTATCATCCTTTAGATATGACCGTTATCAACTCATGGGTGTTATACAAAACAGTCAACATGAAAAGGGGTGTTCATGCAAATAAGACAATGAAGTTGGCAGAATTCAGAACACAACTTGTGGATACCATGCGACTGTTCCAGAGTCCTCCAGAAAACAAAAGAGGGAGGCTAAGTACTAGTACTCGCCGGGATCAGACGCCGGAAACGACACTAAAAAGAGCACAGCAGATGTGCAAGTGATACCCTCCGTTCACATCTGTGGAGATGGTGTCAGACACAAGAAGCAATTCATGGAGACAAGAAACAAATGTAAATATGGTAAATTAGAAGTTGATATCATGGATGTGTAAAAAATGCAATGTTTCTTTATGTGACAATAACAAAAATATGTTTCTTAAAATTTCATATATAGTTGTTGTTGTGGTTGAACCTACATAATATTTTTTCAAGTTTTGATTGCATAAAGTATCAATATAAATATCAAATTTTCCCGTATTCTCTGTACTAAATGCAATCTGAAACAATTTTTTATTTTACAACAAATTCATGCATTTCAGGGTTAATAATGAAAAAACAAACTATATGTTGGGTATAAAAATTAATTTTTACTTTATTATCAAAGAACATAAAAATAACAACTTGTGTAATAACAAACATTAGTAAAGTTGTAATTAAATCTACGTTTTGTCAAAATTATGAATTATCGGTATCTACTTTACCCCATACAACAGGCAATATGCATTTTCATTAGCCTACCGAAATGTATGATTTTTGCGCTTGCCATGTCTACCTATCAGGGATTGCTGTATTCACAATCACTCCACTCTGGAAGATATTATTAAGTGTTTTAAAATCCGCGGCTGAATTTTAGATGGTCACTCAACTTGAAACAGTTTTTCACTAGAAAGTCAATTAAAAATAAATCTATGGTCTATTAAAGACCCTTTTATTAGAGTGCAGTCTGTTAATTCAAAAATATGACTCGCGCAGAAGTTGATGGTTATTTAGTTTATTTTAAAGAATGAATTAGATAATAATTAATCAGGCATAAAAACGCCTGTCAAATTTTTAAAAATTGAATTGTTAAAATTAGTTTAAAAAATAAATTTGCCAAAATTAGGTGTACCTCTCCACTTTTGCCTATTTTTTGTGAAAAGATTATTTGTATTTTTTCACCTCTTGAACAACATTCCTCATTAAAGATATTTCATTACTTAATAGGTCTGCAATAGCTGGTTTATCTTCATCAGATGCCGTTAAGAACTTCGTAACTAATTCTGGAATGCAATGTCTGTGTTGAATAAATAATTTAAAGCATAGGAAAAGTAGCAAAGAAGTAAAAGTTTATAGCAAAATTTTTAGTCATATTACTGAATCTTACCATGATAAGCCTGTAACAACTTGTAATCTTCATCTTTGAGCTGTGCTTTTAAATATGATATGATCAACGGTACTTGTCGTCCTGAAGCATGCAACATGTTCTGAGTAAGTATGGCAAAAATTGCCAAGACCGATAAATGTAGAGCCAAGACGGGATCTTCACAATTCTCTAATTCAGTTATTAATTTTTCCCTGTGGTTTTGAACCAAAATCCTGCAAAACAGAGTTCAGTTGTAAAAACACATAAAATATTCACAAGTTTTAAGTATGTGGTGTAATTAAAGAGTAAACATACTTGTCTTTCTTTTTGTCCACTTTCTTCAAGATCATTCCACATTCACCCAAACATACATCAACAGCTTGATAAAACGCGTCTAGATTTTGATCGGCTAAAGTCGCGTTCAATGCTTTCAAAGGCTTCATGTACTCTTCAGTTAAGTCATTGATTATCTTGTTCCTCTGTTCCACCGATAAAACATCCACTTGCACAGAAAGGTTGCACTGGTTGGCTGCATATTTACAGAATTCCGAAAGGACATCTCCACCCAAAGATTTAAGAAGGTATTTGATAAACTGTGATTGCTGCTCAGCTGCAAAGGCTTTCAAACCCTTTTCATACAATTTAATATCATTGACCAAAATGTTAATTTTATCTTGAGCTGACGAGTGAGTTTGCCTACGAGTCTGATTAGCATCTTGAAGCAATTTTTCAGCTGTCTCCCTAGCGATATTCATAGCAGTTTGATTAAGAAATCTGAAAATTTAAACATCATTAATTATTATTTTACTAATTCCAAGACAAACTGAAAAATAGAATTGGTTGATTAATTGGTTACCCTTGCAGATATTCCGCAATCTGTGGGATTAAATCATCAAGACCCTCAAACTCCAATGGCATTTGGATAATGTTTTCAACATCTTGAACAGTTACAATTTCCAAGTTCAGTGGGACTTTTTTAACAACATTAGATGCATCATCTGAATCGGAATCTTGAGCTACTGTCTGTTTTGACCTTGGATGTTTCTTGACTGCTTTCGTTTTTGTTTCTCTACCTTGGGTGCCACCACCACCTTTACCAGATGCCGCCTTTCTACGTCGTTCCTCTCGCCTTTCCGCTTTATGGTCTACATGGCTTGTCTGAATATCTGATGCTTTAGATAATTGTTTTTCCAATATAAATTGTTGATATCTTCCTGATTTCACCACTGCCACTGCCTTTTCATTTGTCATGGGCATACAAGCTTGTTTTAGATTTTCAATGTAATTAGTGCTGAAAACTACAAACAAAAATTTACAACAAAAATGTTAGGATCTTTTATATTTCCTTTTTTAAAATATAATTTGAATGTACACTTTCCTATACACAACTTACCAGCGTTGTCAAATAAAACAGTTGATTTCCAATTTTCCTTTAAAAGTGCATCTAGCACACTCTCAATGTCTTTGTCAGACAAGATTGATGGCAACAAAGAAACAATATCCAAATAACTTTTAGAAGATATGCATTCCTCAAGAGCTGTCTCCAGTTGCTGTTTAATCTGAGAACCAATTACACAACTGCTCAGGAATGTCAGATTTTCATTTGGTAAGGCTCTCTTGACATAGCCTTTAGGGTCAGAGATGCCTAAACGAGATAAAGCATCATACTCAAGGTAATTGTTCTGTTTGAAGAAGCTCATAACCCAGTCATTTTGAGATTTGGTGTAACAAGATGGCACATACAGAGCTCCTGCTTGACGCCCAGTTAGAACTCCAGGAGCATTGAGCTGGTCAAATAATGACATAAAAAGGCGATCAGCCATGTTGCAATGGTTGATTATTACTGTAACAGGAGTGGGTTTTAATAATCCCATCAAAGCTCCACGAATTTTAGCTTTAGTACGAAGAATGTACTCTTCAGTGTAAAACGTCCTGGGCTCTGAGGTGTCTTGTCTGCCAATGATAATTTTACCCAGATACCGCTCCAAAACATTGTGTTGTAACAATTCAGCAGGCAAATCAAACTGTAACGTCAATTCTCCAACATTTATCTGACCTTGTAACTGTAATTTTTCATTTATTTCTCTGGCTAATTTTTCCAGATAATAATGGGCAATCAAGTAACCAGAAACTAATTGCACTTCTTTTCCTTTGACAATTTCTGCAACACTTGTATTGATCTGGTTTAAATCGACATTCAGCTCTTTGGCGAGATCCACAGTATTAATGCGTCCACCATGAACATATAATTCATCTTTGATCTCTCTAATCAGCTGCTGAGAAGTAAGGTATTCTTTTCCATCTGTAGTAAAGATTACATCTATAAGTTTCAGCTCTATCAATTTCGTAACAATCTCAATGCAGTTCCTTTCAGACAATCTGCAAAAAATATATTTAATATTTCAGTTTTACAATATTTGACGATAAAAGTTAAATATAGAGAAATTTTAACAAAATCTACTCATAATAAATAGGAGTAGATCAGGAAATTAAACAATATTCTCATAAGAAAATAAATTTACACATTAGAGTTTATAGTAGCATACCTCTGTGCAGTAGAACTAAGTTGAGCTTTTTGAAAGTCAGCTGCCAGCCTCTTGATTTCATCCCAGTCTGTGGATGGAGCCATGTTGATAGACACTGCAAAATCAATAAATTCACAGCTTGAAATCGTCAACTTCAACATAAATTATTCGTGTTTAATACACTGAAATATTGACGTATTACGAAAAAGTAATATATCTGTCATTTCAGAATATATTAAGTAATTTTAGAAAACTAACGGTATTTATTACAGCACAATCAATGTTCCAATCACAAATTATAAAGATTCCAATTCCACCGAACAAAAAACCAATACAACCATATATTATTTACTTCAACACGTCGTCACTTCAACTTCAACTTCAACTTTTGTGTCTATGGCTCCGTCGTTTTGCGCGACGATTTTGCCAATGTCAGGG